CCCCCCCCCCCCCGAAAGGCGGAGGGATTAGCCAGGGCCCAGCCAGCCCAGCCCCTTCCCTCCTGCTCTCTCCGCCCGGAACACCCTTCTCCGGGCGCCCCTCGACTGTACCACCGCCTCCTCCAGGAAGCCTCCCTGATGCCCCAGAACAGTCAACACCCTGCCCACACCTGCTCTCTCTCTAGGCCTCACCCACTGCCTGGCAGGGCCTCCTCGAGGACCAGCTTCTCACCCCCCAGCAGACATGTTCAGCAACAGGGCTGGGCCCAGCCCCAAGGCCACCATAAAACCCTGGCCCCACTGAGGGCCGACAGGCCACAGGGAGCCACGAACGAGAAGTGAAGTCATAAAATGGCAGAACCCAGAGGTGCACAGGGTCTTGGAGAGAGATGGTGAGGAAGAAAGGGGTGGGGAGGGCTCCCCAAGGAGACACGAGACAGGGCACCACTCGCCAGGCCTCAGCACGGCCGTGCAAAGGCCCAGGGGCAGATGCTGCAGCACGTGGGAAGCAGGGTAGACCGAGGTGCCCAGCGTCTGAAAGTCACGCGTGGGGTCTGGACATCACATGTGGGGGCCAGGGGACCCCAAACCACTCACGCAGCCTCCCCATCGCTAACGAGGGACTCAGTAATCCGACCCCAGGCCCCCCACTGTTCGTGGGGTCCTCAGCCAACGCTGGCCCCTTCCCGACCACCCACGTTTTGGGTTCACTCCCTCCATCCGGGCACCTGCACCTACACTGTCGCCCCTCCGAGATCGCTCACCACCGGGCATGGACGGAGGGGAGGCTTCACGGCCGCGCCCACACTCACCTCACATCCATGATGCTGCTGCGCTGGCCGTCGCGGTGGCTCTCCAGATGGGACAGGGTGAAGGCAGGCAGCCGGCGGATGGCAAAGCGCTCGTGCTCCCAGGCCAGGATGTCCTCCGCCAGGTTGATTTTCTTGTGCACCATCGAGAACCGCACCTCCGGGAACTGGTGGGCGGCCACCTGTGCGGGGGCGGGGCCCATCAGGGCGACACCCACGCCCCGATGCCGGCCGTCTCCGCCAGGGGGGGCCCGCGCCAGCTCAGACCACGGAGGTTCGCGCAGGGCCTCGGGGGCCAAGAGGGTTCCCGAGTCCCTAGTCCTCGGGCGCCAGCACGTACAAAGCGCCTGATGACCAGCCTGCTGGACGCGACCGCGAGGCAACGAGCGCGCGCGGGGCCAGAGATCCCGGGCGGCAGCGGGCACGCGCTCTGGCACCTACCGTCTCCAGCTCCCGCAGGAAGGCGTGCTGCAGCGTCCCCTCCCTGGGCGGCTTGGACACGTGCAGGTGCAGGCTGTCCCCGCGGCCCACGGTGTCCAGGCACAGGACGAAGGCCACGTTGTCCTGGAGCAGGCTGGAGTCTGCGTGGCAGCAAGAGCGGTTGGGGGGGGGAGGGGCGAGAAGGGAGGGGCCCCTCTGCGGCCCCGGCCCCAGCCCCAGCCCCCCGGGGCCGCTCACCCGTGTGGTCCAGGTTATCTTCCAGCCAGCGCTTGGTTCCCTGGTAGTTGAACTTGCCCCCTCCAGAAGCGAAGAACAGGAGGTTGTACCTGGCAGCACACGGGGAGAGCGGGTGTGGGCCGTGGAGGGGAGGCCGGGCCCCCGAGGAGGAGCTGGTCTCCCACAGGCACTGAGCCCTGACCCCCCAGAGCAGGGTGTCCCTGTCCCAGCACCGTGGACGCTCTGTGGGGGGACCCGGGCTCCGTGGGGGGCGAGCAGCATCCCCGGACCCACCCACTCAGTGCCAGACGGCCCCAGACGGGACCCGGTGTCCCTGGGGTGCAGGACCCAGGTGGGGCTCAGCTCCAGGCCCGGCACCCGGGGGACCTGCTGGCTTCCCAAGCGGTGCCCCCCCCCCCCCAGCTGTCACGTACGCCGGGCGTGCAGCGCCAGGTGTAGAGCCTGAGAAGAGGCGATGAAACCCAGCAGCACAGAGATGCCCTCGCTCGAAGTCCCAAGACTGTAGACAGCCACTGCGGGCAGGAGGGACACGAGGCCGGAGGTCACTTCGCCACCCCTGCCCTGGCAGCCGAGCCCGGCACCCTGCCTCTGGGCCACGCCTCGCTCCCCGGCTCCAGCCCTGCTCGCCAAGACTCTGCCCCACGGGGGCGGCCTGGTCGGAGCATTGGAACGTGAGCTCTCTTCCCTGTCCCCCCCCCACCTGTGCTACTGGGGGGGCAGATGCAGGCTTCCCCAAGCTGTGAAAGCCCCCAACTCATCCGCATTCTGTAATCTGAAGGAACACTCCCAACAACATGGTAATCAGGTAAGAAAAAAAATTGGATTCTATAATAGGGCTCGGGGACCCCCCAGGTTACAGTCTGTAGCCAACATATCACATATCGATACGTTAAAATTCAGGGAAAAAGGTAACATGACGCTCAGGGAAGGAACCAGATACCAGAGGCCACACGGGGTGTGAGTCCACGTGTGTGAAACGTCTAGAACAGGCTCATCCACAGACAGGAAGGGGGCTCGTGGGATCTGGGGAGCGATGGGGAGTGACCGCTGATGGGGATGGGGCTACTTTTGGGGTGACAGAATGTTCTGGAAGTAGACGGTGATGGTTTCACAGCGATGAGTGTCCTACTCTGTACTAAAACATTTACTTTAAAAGAACAATTTTTAAATGAATTACATCTCACGGAAGACAGGCAGGCAGACTTCACGGCAGGGGGCGGGGGATTAAAAACAAAATAATCTAAAAGGCTGCAGATGAGGCGGGAGGACGAGGCTGAGCATCCTGAGGGGACAGCTCAGGCCTTGCCTCTGGGCCCCGGCGGGTCCAGGCATCCGGGGCCGCTGGCCTCCCAGGCGGGGTGGCCCTTGGAACGGCTGCTCACCATTGCCATGGTCACACGGCCAGGACCTCACGCCGGGCTGCCACTGGCAACCTCTTCGGTTTGGACAGTTTTTCTTTCAAAGCAAGACTTTCCTGATGAAGCCACAGGCACTGTTTACAAGCTGATGAGAGTGAGCAGTGACCGTGACCTCACTGTGCAGGGGGCTCAGACAGCTCGGCAGGGGGTGAGGGGGTGGAGGAGGCCTGCAGGGCAGCAGAACTCAGCAGGCCCGACACTTCCCTCCTCAGAGGACTGCTGGTGAGGCCGGCCCTCAGCGGCGTCTGAAACTGGACTCGGGGGCTCCCACCAGCCTCACCTGCCGGGGGCTCGTGTCCCGGAGCTGTCTGTGCAGACACGAGGTTTGCGCCGAGGACCCGCTCCCCTCCTGGGGTCTGGGGTCTCCGCCCGAGCCCGGCAGAGGGGTCTGCTGACCGACCCCCGGGGAGAACCTGGGCGCTGGGTCTCTATGCCCCCTGGAGACCACACCTCACGTGTGGTCACGTGTCGTTTTGGGGGGGGGGGATCAAGCTCGTCCTAGGGGATACCCTGGGAGACGATTCTGGAAGCTTAGCCCGGTGTCCCTGTGCCGTCCCCCACCCTGTGCCTATGCCCTGAGATTATCTGCTCCTCATCCTTTATAAAAACCACGGCCTTGGGGTCCTCCCAGCACACCCCCACCCCTGGGGATCGCTGCACACATCCCTGCTCCTGGCACGGGTCCTGAGGACCCTGGCACAGACACCCTGGGCTCGATTTCCGGCTACCCATCTCTGGCGGGACCCTGGCCGCAAGACCTGCCTCAGATTAGCCCGTGTCTGCTCCACGAGGCCACCCGTGCCAGGGACCCTCCTGGGCCTCAGAGGGCGGGTGCCGCTGCTGTGACCCCAGCCACGCCGCACAGAAACGCTCCACCTCTGAGCTAGGCTGGAGCAGGGCTGGGGGTGGGGATGCCCGGGCCCCTCCCCAAAGTGCCCGCATACGTACAGGGGCCACTCCGAAGGCATCGTAATGGGCCACGATGACGATGGTGGGAAGGTCTTCTCCACCCAGCCCGGTCAGCCGCCCCTGCAGAGAGAGAGACAGTCTGTGAAGGGCATGCTGGCGGGGGGGGGGGGGGGGCCCAACGGCCAGAAACAGTTCCGGCTGCCCTGTGGGGTGGGGCAGTCTCTCGAGCCCTGCCGGCTCCGTCACGGACAATATGCGAACCAATGGCTGTGGCCGGGTGCCAATAAAACTTTATTTACACAAGAAGTCACGAGGGCCGCAGCACGCCGACCACTGCTCTCTCTGTCGTGCTTCCCCAACTGGAGACCCGACCCATCTTTCGAAGGCTGAGCCCCGAGCCACCGTCAGGGCAGGAGCAGAGCTCTGCTGATGAGAGGCAGCCAGTTCAGAACGCGGCCACAGGAGCCCATCGGGGTCCGGGGTCCAGGTCCCGGCGCCCCAGCTGGAGACCCAGCACGTGTGGACTGACCCTTGCTGAAGTCACGGGGGTGACAAAGCAGAACCACCTCTTGTCAGCAAAGGGCTCAGCCTCCACTCCTCCCGTCCAAGGCTAGTTCCGGGGTGCAGAGAGGTCAGACGGGGTGGCCCAGGGTCTTTGCCAGCACACGGCTGAGGCCGTTTTTCTGATCCTGCCAGCTAGAGGGCGAGCTCTGCGAGGGCCTTAGCCACGTCAGATGGGAAGCGGCCACTGGTGAGCCCTCCTGGCTGCCGTCCACGGGGAGCCGGCCGAGACCCGGGACCACACTCGGGTGTGGGTCCCCACCCGAGACCACGGGCACACTGCCGACCGTACGGGCTCAGGCCTCTCGAGACAGGCTGATCCCAGCACCGGCTGCGTGAGCCAACGGGGGCCAGAGAGAGTAGGGGGGCAGCCGAGCGCCCCCGCTTCCTCCATGCCCCCTGCTTCGACCCAGATAACAGGCACTGCAGAGGTTTCTAGAACCACAGGCCAGGACGGCCAGGCTGGCAGGCTGAAAGAGACTCCTGAAAGGCAAGAACCCACCAGACCCCGGGCGGCCCCGCTGCTATTAACCCCCTGGTACCCGGACCGGCTGCTGCTCGGCCCCACCTCCGGGAGCCGGATGGCAAGGGCCGTGCCGCGATGCGTCACACGGTTTTGGCGCTATTCCTCTTCTAATTTCATCCACTGCTTCGACGGGGCAGCGCCGTCCCCACATCCTGCATCAGCCTGCCCAGCCCCACCGGCCACCCTGCCCAGGCCCCTGCACCCGGTCCCTGCGGGCGGCCCACCCCGCCCGGGGCCCCGACTCCCCTCGCCGCTATAGACCTGCCAGTCTGGCGTCCCCGAGGGTCCCTGCACGGACTGGGATGAGCCATTTTTTGCAGGCGTGACTGCCCCGGCAGAGCCCATCTCCCGCTGGGCCGAAGTGCCCGCTTGCCACCCTCGGACCTCCCCCGACTGCAGGGGAGTTCTTCCAGGAAGGAAGGGCATCCCGCCCGCTGCTGCCTCCCGCACACAGCAGGGCTCAGAGTGCTCACAGAGAAAGCTTAAACTCCCGAGGCGGACTCGCTTAGTTCTGGAGAGGGGAGGGCTAGCCGCACCCCAACTCGCACGGAGCCCGCACGCCGGCACCAGGGGCTGGCCGAGTAGCCTGGCGCCGTCTGGTGTGAGCCACTGGGGACTCAGGCCCGCCTGGCCCAAACAGAGGCCGGGGCGACCAGCACACTCAGCTCAAGTGCTCGCTGAGGGCCTGCTGTGCACAGGCACCTGGTCAGGCTCCCAGGACACCACACAGGCCGAGATGACACGGTCTCAGCTCCTCCGGCGCTGGGGCCGGTAGGAAAGAGAAGAGTGACACGCAGGCTCCGAGCGTGTCACATGGGACGATCCCTGGACACGAGGTAAAGCCAGGCCTGGGTCAGGCCTGCCACGGGACGACTCCGGCTCGAGGTTGAAACTGTATGTGGTTTCTCAGGCCGACAAGCTGCCATCGGGCACTCAGCCCTTGGCCATGCACTTGCCCCGTCTGTGCTCCTTGCCCTGTGCCTTTGTTTCCGGGGCCTCTGTGAGGGTCCCCCAGGCAGTCTCCAGGGAGACCTCCTCACTGGGGTGGGGGACACGACGGACACGATGACACCATGAAAAGAAGACAGTCCCCACTTTGTGCTTTTCCACTGCCAGCCCTCCCCCTCGCCACCTCCCCACCCTGGGTCCACACAACTGCCAGAGCTTTCCGTCCAGGCCCCCCACGGCTGCCGACAGAGCTGACCCTCGACACGGGGGAGAACAGAGCAGCCGAGTCAGGGTCTCCTCCGGCCTACACGCTTGCTTCCACCCCCACGGGAGGTGATGACAGGCTGAACTCTTTCATGTTTGGCCTGCCGCTTTAATTGCCTACTTCAACACCCAGAGCTCAGCTCTCTCCCAGCTCAGCTGAGCTGTGGACAACAGGGGGGGTGTGTCCCCAGAAAGTTCTGAGGATGCAGCCTTGGAGGTATCATGCTATGAAAAGAAGAGGCCACAGCGGGAAGGGGAGCTCTCTGCGAGGCAGGGACAGCCAGTGCAAAGGTCCTGAGGCAGGATGAAGAGACTTCATGTATGGCTGGGGCTGGCAATGGAAAGCAGGAGATGGGCTGGTGGGGAGATCTGACCCGATTTCCCTATCAGAGGCTCCCTCCGTGGGGAACAGGTGGGGCTGAGCTCAGAGAGCCAGGATACCCCCTCCCCAGGTCTTAGTGTGGCAGGCAGGGCCAGATACTCACCTCCACACTGGTGATGAGCCAGTCACTCACGGCCTTGCTCTGGACCCCGCTGGTGACCATCTGGAAGCCGTTGGCAGTGGCGGTGTGGAGCAGCACTGAGGACAGGTTGGGGAGCGTCAGCCCAAGCCCCTGGGGGGCTCCCGAACCAGAGGCGGCATCCTTGTCGCCCCAACACCCCAGATGGCAGGGGTTCGGTTTAAGGCCAGCTGGACACAGGACCGCCCCCGTGAACCGGGGCGCAGCGTGAGGACTGGGCAGGGCAAAGAGCCTGGCAGGGAAGACACTCGTGCCCTGGCACCGGTCACACCCACCACTCGCACGGGTGAGAAGGGAGTATCAGGCAGGTCCCTTCCCTGGCGTCTCTGACTGCTTCTGCTAGCTCTCTCTCGACGGCCACCTGCCCCGCTCCAAGCTCGTGGACGCCCCTGATCCACGGAACAGAGGACGGGTTTCCTCCCTCCCCAAGGACGCTGCCACCCCTTCCCGACAGACTCCAGCAGGATATGGTGGCACGGACAGAATCCTCGGCAGGTGGAACAGGTGTCTGTGTTTCCCAGAAGCCATCAGAGGCTGAACATGGGAAACGCCTCCCCGAGTCAGTGGTTCTCCGGCTTCTGTTTGCACAGGAACCAGGGGCGGGGCGGGGGCGGGGGGGGGGG